GGTGTAGCAGGTATAACTTTTGAGTCGTGGTTTAAGAAGTATGAAGATTTGTTTTATATTGATCTTTGCAACCTGAATGATGCTTCGAAAGTCAGAATACTTCTCAGAAAACTGGGGACTGTGGAACATGAACGCTGAAGCAACTTCATTCTCCCGAAGAACCCACGAGATTTTAGTTTTGATGAAACAGTCAAAACCCTGTCCCAAATCTTCGGAGAACAATCATCTTTATTTAATATCCGTTATCGGTGTTTAAAGTTAACGAAAGAATCTGGAGATGATTGGGTGAAACATGCAGGAACTGTGAACCGTGAATGCGAGAGGTTCAAATTATCGTCCATGTCTGAGGACCAGTTTAAATGCTTAGTATTTATCTGCAGCCTGCGTTCTCCTGATGATGCTGATATCTGGACCAGAATCCTAAGTAAACTTGAACACTGCCATAACATGACCCTACAGGAAGTAACTACCGAGTGCCAAAGGTTAGTGAACTTGAAGCATGATACTTCAATGGTAGAAGACGGTAACTATTTCCATAATGTCAATGCAGTCAAGAGAAAATCCTTGCAAGGTTCCAGCACATGTAATTATCGTAATAACGGCGGCAAACCATCATCTCCATGCTGGGCATGTGGAGAATGGCACTATAAGAGGTTTTGCCCGTATAAAGAACATTGTTGTAGTAAGTGTCATCGAAAGGGCCATATAGAAACCAGCTGCAGGAGAGAAACTTTAAACGACATTTTGCAAAACCTTACTTCAAGAAATACAGGTCTGGGGCATTAACGAAAAGAATATTGGTATCGCATAACAAAGCTCGAAGTTGCCGCCAGAGAAAGTACGTAACCTTGAATATTAATAAACACCGCATTCGACTTCAGCTTGATACTGTTTCTGATATTACTTTAATAAGTCCAAAAATTTGGAAGAAGATTGAGCGACCCTCGGTGCATCGAACAACACAAATAGCACACCGTGCATCAGGTGGAAAGTTAAAAATTGTTGGAGAGATACCTTGTATTGTGTCTAAAGATGCGGTAACAACAAATGCAACAGTGTATCTTACAAAGAAGCCAGCACCCGACTCAATGGGGTTGGATCTTATAGAAACACTTGACCTAGCAGACCACTCTATTAACAGTATCTGCAAACGAATCACAACTTACAACACCTCAGAGTGGAGTCAAAAAATGCCGTGCTACAAAAACACCAAGACGTGTTTCAAGAAGGATTAGGCGAGTGCACGAAGGCTAAAGCAGTGCTAACTCTAAAGCCTGCAGCTATTCCCATTTTTCGACCTAAAAGACCTGTGCCCTATGCTGCTCTTCCAATAGTCGAACAGGAATTAGAGCGACTTCAGCAAATGGGTGTTATCGAGCCTGTGAACTTCTCGAACTGGGCTGCACCGATAGTGGTGGTCAAGAAGTCGAATGAAAGTGTCCGTCTATGTGCAGACTACTCCGCAGAATTAAATGAAGCTCTAGAGTCCCATCAGTATCCGTTGCCTTTACCAGAAGATCTTTTCGCTAAGCTGAACGGTGGCAGATATTTTGCGAAATTGGACTTATCAGACGCATATCTTCAAATCCCGGTATCTGATGAAAGCAAAGATCTTTTAACGATCAACACACACAAAGGTCTGTTCCGGTATAACCGACTACCTTTTGGGGTGAAGACAGCGCCTTCTATTTTTCAGCAAATTATGGATATCATGTTAAAAGGTATTCCAGGGTCAGCAGCTTACTTAGACGACATCATAATTATGGCAGTAGATAAAATGGACCTGCAGAAGAAACTAGACCGGGTACTAGAACGCATAGCCGATTGTGGTTTTCGACTCCGAGTGGAAAAATGTGACTTCTATATGCAGCAAATACGGTACCTTGGGTTCATAATAGATAAAGACGGAAGACGACCAGATCCAGAGAACATTGAAGCAGTGAAAACAATGCCTAGACCCAGGGACATTACCACCCTACGATCATTCGTGGGATTGGTCAGCCATTACGGTACCTTCCTCCCCGATCTCCATCGTCTACGTGCTCCACTAAACAACCTACTACAAAAGAATACGAGATGGAATTGGTCCGCAGACTGCCAGGCGTCTTTCGAGAAAATCAAGCAACTCCTGACTTCCAATCTCTTATTGACACATTATGATCCTTCTCTACTGATAGTCGTCGCTTCAGATGCTTCTAACTATGGTGTGGGTGCAGTTATCTCTCACATTTTTCCTGATGGGTCTAAAAAAGCTATCTCACACGCTGCCAGATCTTTGACAAAGACCGAAAGGAACTATAGTCAGATTGAAAAAGAGGCCCTATCAATTATTTTTGCAGTGAAGAAGTTCCATAAGATGATATATGGCCGACATTTTACTCTAATAACAGACCATAAACCACTACTTGCAGTTTTTGGGTCAAAGGAAGGTATTCCAGTTCAAACGGCTAACCGACTCCAACGATGGGCAACCACACTTCTTGGTTACGACTTCAAGATAAAGTATCAGTCTACTACCGCCTTCGGACAAGCTGACGCATTGTCAAGATTAATAGGCTCCCAATCAAAAACCCCAGAGGAGACTCTTGTAGCAAATATAAAAGCCGAGGAAGAAGTTCATCGTGTATTGGATGACGCAATCAATGGACTCCCAGTAACCTTTGAAACTATCAAGAAAATCACTGAAAGTGATAAGATACTGAGCACAGTCAAATGCTATCTCACGATCAAATGGCCAAATAATCGCCTTGACGGAGAACCTTTGCAATATTTTCGTCGACGGGACTCACTAATAGTTGTTGACTCGTGTATTATGTTCGGTGATCGAATTGTTATTCCGAAGTTATTACGTCACAAGGTTCTCAAGCAATTTCACAGTGGCCATCCTGGAATCAATAAAATGAAATCGTTGGCTCGTAGTTATGCTTATTGTCCGTCAATGGACAAAGATATCGAGAATAAATGCCGTAACTGTCCATCATGCATTCAAGCCGCTAAAACCCTGTGAAATGCGAACCTCAGTATTGGCCTACGCCTGCAGGACCCTGGAAACAATTCATGCAGATTTTGCTGGTCCAATCCAAGGAAAAATGTTTTTAATTATCGTAGATGCATTTACCAAATGGCCGGAAGTATATACCATGCCAAATTGTACAACCTCAAAAACAATCTACCAGCTGTCTACCCTGCTTAGCTGTTTCGGAGTACCAGAGACCTTAGTAACAGACAACGGCTCGCAATTCGCCGCAGAATCGTTTAAGCACTTCTGTAAAGCAAACGGAATAACTCATCTTCGTTCTCCACCCTATCATCCACAATCTAACGGACAAGCTGAACGCTTCGTGGACACTTTTAAACGAGCATTACTGAAGGGGGGAGGCGAAGGGCCGACTGAGCAGGTGATCACGAAATTTTTAACATCCTACAGATCCACTCCGAATCCGAATGTTCCGGACGGCAAGTCTCCTGCGGAAGTCATGTTCGGAAGACGTGTTCGAACCGTCTTCAATGCCATGTTGCCATCCAAATCAGTTGATGAGCGCAGTCACAATCCAAGTATTCCGAACTTCAATGTCGGCGACAAAGTTTACATTAAATCCTACATCGGGAAGGACCGATGGGAGCCGGGAGAAGTCGTACAAAAATTGGGAAGAGTTCTGTACAGAGTTCGAGGAACTTTTGGGATGTGTATACGACACGCAAATCAAATCCTTAAAGACAAAACAATGATGCAAAATCGAAGTGACCCGCCGAATTTTCCGTTAGATTTAATCTTAGACGCACCAATGCCACAAGTGCCAAAGAACACTGGTAGGAAGCCATGGACAGGGAAGACGAAGAGAATAATGCGACGACGTCGCAACCCAGTTATCAAACTACAAGTTGACCCTAGGAAGAAGTCTTATTCGGGTGAGATGTTAAGTCGGCTTCCAGCGAACTCCAACAGAGCCTCCAGAGGCTCAAAAAGAGTCCCAACCAATTAGAGTACGACAGAACATTCTGGAGTTCCAACGTGGCATGCTACCATTGGTCAATGGACCCAGTCGTGTTCCGTTCACTACAATATTACAGAAAGGTTTTTCCAATTACAAAGAAAGGAGAATAGCTGAAGCGTTCCATATAAGGCTTAATCCCACTGTTCTCAATAGAAAAGAAGGCCTTACCATACATCCTACTTGAACTATCTATCCTAGTCACCTAGTCTGATATTATTCACAATTCATACCATTACATTACAAATTAAACTCTATCCTTTGTCATTATAAAGGTCACAGAATTTTCATCATTAACAATGCATACATACACACAAAATTACATACATATCGCTATGAATCACATTGACCGAAATGAAATGACATAACATTGATTTATTCAGACCTGCTTTTTATTGATAGCACCCAATATTCATGTTGTTCCGTTGAACTATTTAAACTTGGGTTAATGTATTTAAGGTATTTCCCACTAGAACTCCAGGACATGTATCTTGAAGTCAGTCACTAGTGAGCATATGATTATAATCAGAAGGAGATTTGTGATTTCAGTATTTTTCAAAGTTGAAATCAAGATACATGTCCTGGAGTTCCAGTGAGAAGCAGTGACCAGTGGAGTTCAACCACGTCTGTTGGGAGATATCAACTCACTGATGACATTGATGAATGGTTGGTCAATTTCGTGGATCAGCTAAAGTTAGACATTAGCACCGTTGGATGCCGACTCAGTGGTCTATCGGTTAAGGGCTCTGGCTCGAGACTGGTGGGTCCTGAGTTCGAATCTGGCGAGGTGGGATAGTGGATGCGCACTGCTGAGGAGTCCCATAATAGGACGGAACGGCCGTCATGCTGTGCTTCCAGGTTTCCCATGGTGGTCTAGCTTCAATTGACTCATGATCTGAATTCTATGATGTTAATTTGGTCATTTATTCTCTGAAGAAGTAGCTCAAACTGAGTCACGAAACATCAGAAAATCTAATTTTTCTACTCATTGAGATATTATAAATATATTAAATTATACACAAGTGTAATGATATAAATATTGATATAATTAAACTTCAAAGCCATAAATTGTTCTTATTGTTTGTAAATCATCTCTACTAAGTGAATATATATGTCGAAATAAACAAGGAAAAGAGATTTGATTTTTAAAACATTCTGTTGAATTGATATTAGACGGGAATGTTGATACTCCCAGTTTGTCTTTATGTCTTCGCTTTTCGATTGGTAATTGTTTCTCTGATTCCGATTGAAAATGGAAGACCTATAAATTAAATTTTTTGGGAAAAAATAATATAAGAAGGGGTGTTGTGGAGATCTTAGTAATTTTATAGAGTTGAGATCATAAGTCAGTTGATGCTAGACCATCATGGTAAACCTGGAAGCACTGGAAGCACTGTTGAGGAGTCCTACAATAGAATGAAACGGTCGTCCAGTGCCTCCATGTTTTCCATAGTGGTCTAGCTTCAATTGACTCATGATTTCAAGTATAAAATTATTAAAAGTTAAATAAATAAATTGAATTTTGAAATTAGTTTCTATTGATAACCATTAGAAAAATGGTGAACTATTAAAAAAACATTAAAATCATTGTAAAACTTATTTAAATTTTCGACACAGAATATTTGTGAACTCATATGAAATCAGAATCATAACATTCAGAATTTTATTGTGTAAACAATAATCAGATCAAATTCACTTAGTATTGTTTGTTTGAATCTTCCCATTGACGTTTAGGACTGCAATTGATCAGTCTCTTATTAGCATATATGCATTCTGTGCATACTGCCTCGATATAGCCTTAATTCACAAGTCCCAGAGTGAACTCTGAGATGCAGATGCATCCAGCTGACGAGTCCCAAATAGGACGAAACGCTGTTCCTAAATTCCACTGCTATTCACTACCCATGTTCGCTTACAATGCTTGCGAATTAAGTCTATATCGAGGCGATATGCACGGTATGCACATATGCCAATAAGAGACTGATCAATCGCAGTCCTAAACATCAATGGGAAAATTCCATCAAATAATACTAAATATCATTATACGATTTACTGTTCCCAAATTATGTTCAGTTTATGAATTACTATCTCCCATATTCACAGCCAACTCCGCCTGTAGCTCTTCTAGAGTTTCTGCCGATCCCAAGCCCAGGTAAAGGAGGAGGGTTGGGCATGGGGTTAGCGACCCCATCCCGTAGAAAAGCTAACTCGCTAAAAAAACACTAACCAGAAAAAATAATTCAAACCATTTAAACTCTGCCCTGGGAGTTGAAGGAATAATTATGACGTCTCATGATGAAAGCCGAAATTCTTCGGAAGTCACGAGACCGATGCACCTTCTAACAACCAGAGCAACACTCTTTATAGGTACATGGAACGTCCGGACAATGTGGGAGACAGGAAAAACCAGCCAAATAGCAATGGAAATGAGAAGATACAACTTGGCAGTACTCGAAATCAGCGAAACCCATTGGACACAAACTGGACAACAAAGGCTAGGTACAGGAGAGATGCTGCTGTACTCCGATCACGAAGGGGAAAATGCTCCACACACTCAGGGAGTTGCTCTAAGGCTGTCCAAAGAAGCACAAAATGCACTTGTGGGATGGGAATCTCATGGACCCAGGATAATCAAAGCATCATTCAGAACAAAGAAGCCAGGGATCAAAATGAACATTATCCAATGTTATGCACCCACTAATGATAGCAACGACGATGATAAAGATCAGTTCTATGAAATGCTGCAATCAATTATAGAGAAGTGCTCACCAAAATATCTGACCACCCTGATGGGAGATCTAAATGCTACAGTTGGGGTGGACAACACAGGATATGAAGATGTAATTGGACGACATGGATTAGGAGAGAGAAATGAAAATGGGGAGAGACTTGCAAACCTATGTGCATTCAACAAATTGGTTATAGGCGGCACAATATTCCCACACAAACGTATACACAAAGCTACATGGATCTCACCGAACCAAACCACAGAGAACCAGATTGATCACATCTGTATCAACAAAAAATTCCGAAGATCAATGGAAGATGTGAGAACCCGGAGAGGAGCTGACATAGCTTCAGATCACCACCTGGTTGTGGCCAAGATGAGACTGAAGCTAAAGAAACACTGGACAACTGGACAAACAGCACTACAAAGGTTTAATACAGCCTTCCTTCGAGATACTGACAAGCTCCATGAATTCAAGATAACTCTCAACAACAGGTTCCAAGCTCTACAGGATCTACTGAAAGAACAAGAAACTACTTTGGAGGACAACTGGAAAGTGATAAAAGAAGCACTAACTTCAACGTGTCAGGAGGTTCTTGGTCCTAAGAAGCACCATCACAAGGAATGGATCTCTATGGGAACCCTGGACAAAATTCGAGAAAGGAAGAACAAGAAACTAGCAATTAACAACAGCCGAACACGAGCAGAGAAAGTCAAAGCACAAGCAGACTACGCAGAATCAAACAAGCAAGTGAAGAAAAGCATTAAAGCCGACAAGCAGAAATACATGGGAGAACTAGCAACGGCGGCGGAAAAAGCTGCAAGAGAAGGGAATATGAAACAACTATATGATACAACGAAGAAATTGGCAGGGAGATATAGCAAACCAGAGAGACCAGTCAAAGACAAAGAAGGAAAGACAATCACTGAGATTCAGGAACAGAGGAAAAGATGGGCAGAATACTTTGAGGAACTGCTGAATAGACCAGCCCCATCGAATCCACCGAACATCGAAGCAGCCCACACTGACCTTCCAATAGATGTCACTCCACCAACGATCGAAGAAGTCAAGATGGCCATCAGACAAATAAAAAGTGGGAAGGCGGCAGAACCTGACAATATACCAGCAGAAGCACTGAAGTCAGACATTGAAATAACTGCAAACATGCTTCACCTTCTATTCAAGAAGATTTGGGAAGAGGAACAAGTGCCAACGGACTGGAAAGAAGGATATCTCATCAAGATACCAAAGAAAGGAGATCTGAGCCAATGTGAGAACTACAGAGGTATCAGTTTGTTATCAGTACCAGGAAAAGTTTTCAACAGAGTGCTGCTGAATCGGATGAAAGACGCAGTAGACGCCGAACTTAGGGATCATCAGGCTGGATTCCTTAAGGATCGGTAGTGCACAGACCAGATTGCGACACTACGGATCATCGTTGAACAATCAGTTGAGTGGAACTCATCACTATACGTCAACTTCATCGACTATGAGAAGGCGTTTGACAGCGTGGACAGGAGAACATTGTGGAAACTTCTTCGACACTATGGATTTCCTCAGAAGATCGTCAACATTATCCAAAACTCATACGATGGACTACAGTGCAAAGTGGTGCATGGAGGACAGCTGACAGATGCATTTCCAGTAAGGACCGGAGTCAGACAAGGCTGTCTACTCTCCCCATTTCTCTTCCTTCTAGTGATTGACTGGATTATGACGAATTCGACATCTGAAGGGAAATATGGAATACAATGGACTTCTCAGAATCAATTAGATGGTTTGGACTTCGCAGATGACCTAGCCCTCCTCTCTCATACACACGACCAAATGCAGATGAAGACAGCAAATGTAGCAGCAGCCTCCGCATCGATAGGCCTCCACATTCACAAAGGAAAAAGCAAGATTCTCAAATGCAACACGGAGAACACCAACCCAATCACACTTGATGGCGAAGCTCTGCAAGAGGTGGAAACATTCAAGTACCTGAGGAGCATCGTTGATAAACAAGGAGGATCGGATGCAGATGCAAAGGCGAGGATTGGAAAAGCAAGGGCAGCATTTCTACAATTCCAGAACATATGGAACTCAAAACAACTCTCAACCAATTTCAAGGTCAGAATCTTTAATACGAACGTCAAGACAGTCCTACTGTATGGATCTGAAACGTGGAGAACTACTACGACCATCATCAGGAAGGTACAAGTATTTATAAACAGTTGTCTTCGCAAAATACTCAACATCCATTTGCCGGATATTATCAGCAACAGCGTTTTATGGGAGAGGACAAACCAGCTTCCAGCTGAAGAGGAAATTAGGAAAAGACGTTGGAAGTGGATCGGACATACATTGAGGAAATCACCAATGTGCATCACGACTCAATCCCTAACTTGGAATCCGGAAGGGAAGAGGAAAAAAGGAAGGCCAAAGAATACACTACGCCGGGAAATAGAGCAGATATGAAAAGGCTGAATAGCAACTGGAAAGAACTGGAAAGGAAGGCTCAGGACAGAGTTGGATGGAGAATGCTGGTGAGCGGCCTATGCTCCTCGACGAGGGGTGACAGGCGTAAGTAAGTAAGTAAGTAATTTTCACAGCCATATTTGGTCAAATCTTGTACAAATATTATTTTCTATTTTATGCTATTGTGTGGTGTATTTGTTTTGTATACAAAGTCAGTATGTTTCAGATACATGATTGATATGTCAGAGGCTGAGATTTGTGTTTTGGGCTTAACTGACTAGAATACGCAAAAAGTAGGACCGAAAAGTACTCTAGACCAATAGTACGGGTTTCCTATATCACTGGTCCGATCAATAACTCGCTGCTCTCTGATTGGCGGTCTTATCACTTCATACGTTAATAGGTTGTCAACTCAGCCACAATGTATAACAGTATCTACTTTAGACAATAAATGAATAGTTGTACAAGATCATAGATTAATTGAAATTATACATTAACGTCATTGGATGAGAGTTCAGTGGTCTAGAGATTTAACCTTCAGAAGCAAGAACAAAGATCCTGGATTCAAGTTCCGTATGTGGGATCATGAACATGTATTATGTCAAAACAACCGTTCAATACTTCCAAAGTTTTCAAATAACACATCTAACTTAAATCAACTCATTAATTCAATAAATTAATATTTTCATAGTTACAAGCGTGAATCAATTGAAGCTAGACCATCATGGAAAACCTGGAAGCACTGCTTGACGGCCGTTTCGTCCTATTGTGGGACTCCTCAGCAGCGCGCATCCATGATCCCACCTCGCAAGATTCGAACGCAAGGCCTACGAGTCTCGCGTCAGTGCACTTAACCGATAGACCATTGAGCCGGCAACTATGAAAATACTAAATGTCCACAAAACCCCTTCTGATGAAATTAATATTTATTATTTTTATTATTAAAAAATAAATTTCCAACTTACTATTAAATTATGAATTAATTTTTTTAATTCTGTAAAAAATTCTATTGATTGTTGATAAATTTTTTTATTTATTCCTAATTCTAGGGATTCAATTTTACATATACAATATTCATAATTTTGTTTATTTATTAAAATACTACTTTTAGATTTATATGTCTTAGTAGTAAATAATTTTTGAAAAATGAATTTCAAGATTGAAGGAGATTTGAATGGTTTCTTTTTTCCCATTTCCATTGATTGATCATCATCATCATCATCCTCATTATCTTTTATTATTTTCATAATAATATAATGAGTAGGAAATGATTTATCACTATGGTGTTTATAAATTTGTCCAATATAATGATTAATTAAAGACGTATTATTATTATTATTATTATTATTAGTAGTAGTAGTAGTAGTAGTAGTAGTATGATTCATTGTATCCGGTATTACAATATAACCAAACCATAATTGTTTAAATGTAATTGGTTGACATAATATTAATTTGATTGATTCATATAAATTAGGTAATTTATAATTTTTAGTTGCTATAGCAACTAAATAACCCCATCCAACATAATGCCATAAATAATTGAATTGAATTAAATTAATATTTAATATTTGATTATTATTATTATTATTATCTAAATATCTTATAGATAAATTCACTGGATATTTACATACAATTACATATGTTGATTTAGATTGATACATTTGTTTTAAACTATTTATATTCATTTGTAATGGAATTGTAGTTATGGAAGAATAGTTATATTTAGATAATGAATATGATTGATCTTCTTTAGGGATTTCTCTGTTTGAAGATGTTACATTTTGCAAAGAATAAGATTTTTGAAGTAAATGTTCTTCACTAATAGTTTTCAATGTATCATTGAATGAAGTGTTTACATCAACTTGATGATTGATACGATTACTATTAAGTTTACCCTGTGAGTAACCTTCATATGGAAAGTTGTTTATATTGTTTTTAACTAATTCAGATAGATTAGAAATCGAATGATGATGATGATGATCATGGTGATGATTGTATGGGATATGAAATGTTGTATTGTTACTATGATGATCATGCATTATAAATGGTGTTTTATCTATTGTACATTGTAAATAGGATTGTTGATTATTAATACTGCTACTGTTGTTACTATGACTACCTTTTATATCGGTAATTGATTCATTTTGATGAGTTGAATTCATAAATTTATTGTATATTTTATGTTTTTGGTTAATTGAAAAATTCGGTGATAAATTTTTTAATAATTGAATTGGATGTTTCACTTCAATTTTATTATTTAAAGACATATTTGAATAAATGATTTTTAATTTAGTCATATATTTATACGGTACATCATTAATTGGATTTACATTGTGTCTGTGTATCTATGTGCTTTTAGTGCGGATGTGCGGCGTGTGTGCATAATTGAGTACGTACATGTGAAAGAGGAGGGGGGTGAAAAGTTGGTAAATCATTCATTGAATTTACATTGTGTGTATATTTATATGGTTTGAGTGCGTCCGTGCGTGAGTACATAAGTGTGGACAAGGCGAAAGGGGGGGGGTGAGAAGTTTTACTTTTTGTTTAAAAAATAATCATAATCACGTATTATTCTTTTATAAATTGATTTTTTTTTGCTAATCTCTATGGTGTATTACTTTTAGATTATTTGATCGATTTTGATTGATATGTAAAACATTATGTAAGAAGAATATAAAGAGTTTTTGCGAAGAAAAAAAACAAAAACCAAAGATGAAAGATTACAATCAAATTTGTCTTAATTTTATTGTCAAGCGACTATTGATTTTTGTAAAAAAAATAAGTTAATTATTACCTTTTTTATATAATAACCTACCACTTACATAACATTGATTTGCATAAGATAAGATAATAAGATGACCGGATTATATTATATTTATAAAGTAATACATAATGCATAATAAATACTAAACGAATGCTGTATGATTACATAATACAAATAATATTCAAGACTTTCTATAGATATATGTATGTTTTTTTGTTTAATAGTTGAGATTATTAATCAATTGAAGCTAGATCACAATGGAAAATCTGGAAGCACTACTTGATGGCCGTTTCTTCCCATTGTGGGACTCCTTAGCAGTGCGCATCAACGATCCCGCCTCTCGAGATTCGAACCCAGGATATATCAGTTTCGCGTGGTGATCTAGCTTCAATTGATTCATGATCTCAACTATTAAAATTACTATAATATCCACAAAACCACGTCTGATATATATATATATATATATATATATATATATATATATATATATATATGGTAATAAATTAGTTTTCATTATAAATTCGTATTAGAATTAGAGAACATTTATGATAATCATGAAATACTGTAATAGATATTCTGTTTCAGTTAATTTAAGAGTCTTTCAAATTATTCACCTATAAATGATATATGATGGAGGTGATTTTCTAACATTTGATTAGTGTTATATCTCGAACTTAAACTCTTAGTATATCGCGTATAACTTGAGCACGTGAAAGCTAGAACCCTCCCAAGTCGCAAAATGAGAAGACAGAAGACTAGCAAGTAGGAATGTATTTCCCAGCAGTGTCAAATATAGTACATAAATCTCATGTATTTATAGTTTTGGTTGAAAGTAAATCATCATTTCGGACAGCCAATAGGCACATAGGTGGTAATTCTTATTCATCCAATCGGGAAGCTACACGTCGACATTCTAGAATGTTCCTCTAGCGGTGATTGGATGGAATATCTTCGGCTCTTTCTGGGCTTCTTTGAGTTTATCAATGAGCTATCCTTACAATTAGATGAAATTTTTGATTGTTAAAATCAATAAACATAATGCTAATCATAGATGAATGTTATGAATTAATATAGTTCAATGATGGCAACACATGAAGTTGTATTAATAACTTAAGCCTTTGAATGATTAGAAATTGAAGATAAGACCATTAGCTGGATGGATTGTTTTTTTCATATAACAAAATAACATTTTTATTGTTATATCCCATGGAGAATTATGAATGGTAACTCTGAGGACTATTTATGGACCGATGTGATATGTATATTTCCTATTGTATAATTGTTAAGTAACTTAACTATTCATCTTCGTATCTCTCTTATTCTAAGCTTCATTTTAGCCCATAGACTATTATAATACGATTTACCATTCCTGAGTTATCCTCAGTCTATTAATTACTGTTCCCCCGATTCACAGCAACATTTGGCCAAATCTTGTACAAATGTTATTTTCTATTTTACGGTACGATATGGTCTGTTTGATTGGTATATAAACCCAGTATGTTTGAGAATAATGATTGATTTTGCAGAGGCTGTTATTGACGTTCTGGACTTAACTGGATGGGCCAGGCAGATAGCAGGATTGATAAGTACTCAAGACTACTCATACGTTATAACATTCATGTATAAAATATGAACTGAAAAGGAAACATAATAAAATATCATAGGCGATTGGCGAAGAAAATTAGCTTGTAAGTCATATGTTCTCCAATCAATTGAAACCTGACTATTAGGTCTAATCTCTACACATCGTATCATGATAAAAACTAGTAATACTGGAATATTTATTGTTATCTCTCTTTAAAAGAGATTTCTTCACGTCTTTGTGAAATATTTGAATTATGAAGTCAATCAAGTGGGCAGTAAGATCGTAATTTGTTATTGATATTAAATAATGATCTCATTGTATGACAAACTGATTGAAGTAAGAAAATGTGAACCAGTAGTTTAAGGCACTCTCCCAATGGTGGAAAAGATTTGTAGCTCAGATTTAAGGTCAAAAAAGAACCAATCAACATCGAGGTGTACAAGACAAGCTATGAACCATATGTGGAGAAATTCAAACACTTCACTTTTACCCGAAGTTTGTGCTGATGATGTCATTCAGAAGGACGATGTAAGCTCCACGACCAAATCATCCAGCTTTTATTCAAATGACTTTTGTGGAAATATTTCTTCCTTAAGAGGAGAGTACTGCAGAGATTATTAATTTTTGAAATAAAGTCAATGCCTTTATTCAAATTACCTTCTAATGCAGTACTTTTACAATCCAATATATCTAACAGATAATTATTTTTATTCATCCCATCGGTGTTCAAAGTGATAAAACCTCTAATAAAATAGATGAAAGATCGACGACAGTTTGTTGTAGTACATTTTCTATAGAAAAAAGCATTCCAAATGACACAACATGATGACTAGTAACCCAAACAAAAGTAGATAAATACAGGCAAATCGCATATATGGTGTTACATGTACTTCTAAAAGCGAGTATACTGGAAGAAAAGAAAGGATGAGATCTGCGAGCTTTGTTGGAGATATTCCCAGGAACTTAAGTATACGAGGACAACAAATGCCCCCATATTTCAATCCGTAGAAAGTTGGACACAATTAAAATTACCAATAAATAATTTGATATTACCAAGTAGAAACTTGTGGAGGCCACAACAATTAATTAGCACAAACCTGATCATCATATTCAAAAGAAGTCGGTAATTAAACTGCAAGTTAGTGAATTAACAAATAAAATATTCTGAAAATAATTGTAGAGCCCATACCGATTTATAGAGATGATCACCTTCGTAAATGATTTAGTTTTCATTACCCACTTGTATGAGGAAATTCTAAAACGAGTACTAAATTAAAGCAATGTGTTCCGTTATAATTAACAGTTGAAATACTGATGGAAAAGATAACAAGTAGTGTGGTCTGCCTTTTCCTATGCGGATAGATATAAGTAGTATGTAGTAAGAATCAGGAGTGTAATGCTTACCAACAGAAGATTGAAATAAAGAGAAGAGGAATGAATATAAGAAGCAATCGAATTGAAAGAATGGTGGAGTATGTAAAGGACAACTCAAAGAAAAGTGTATGGTATTAACTTTTTTCAAAGGTACTGTGTGATATTTCATAGAGCAATAAATTGGTTTTTGCCCATCAAATCTCCCTTCATTACAACAGTAGTTTGAGTTGATTATATCTTTGAAAAATCTATTATCAGTCAAACTTGTATTCATCTATAGCCGGTTATAGGTACAGGAAATATTTCTGTGACAGTTCAGTGTGAATTGGACCACCTTTGATAACATTTAACCGATGCAGGCAATTAGGCAAAATTCATATTGGGTACAGAACATTAACACATGACATAAGTTTGTAATTTTACATCAGTATTATGTGCAGTGTTTGTTGAATTAAACTAGTGTGCACTCACGATCCTCACCAAAGATTTGACTATTGACGATTTACATATTAGGATATGACTATTTGGAGCTCCATGATTTTCAGTGGTACTCTAACTGTATGTAATGTGTAATCGATATGCGAACCCACCGATGACAACATCAAACGCCGACCACCACATTGACTCTCTTTAACCTTACATGACTATGCCTTGTTTATTTACCAATTATCATTTATATGTTTGTCATAGACGATATGATTACTGTTCGATATGTTACTTATGTCAGTTTCCTCGTATTTAATATACCGAATTAATTGTTTTCTGTATACAAATAGTGTTAAGTTACGTTTTATAAGCAGATAGGGTTTATCAAGCTAAACAACTTACTTGTCCTGACTTTGGCTAAGCTAAGACTGTGCTCAACAGTCTAAGGAATAATTTAGAATTGCATTCGTAGGAAATTGCTTTCTACAATGGAGTCAACCACTGAAGGATAACATATGAAGTGTCTACCTTGTCAAATTAAATGTTTCTGAATAGAGAGTATTGATTGTCAGGGAAAAACTAATTTCAAGAGAAAGATAATAAGTCGTCTGATGAATTTCAGCCGGTGTTTTTTCCGTTGTAAATATGTACATTTTTCGTTTTTATTGGTGATTATCTCATCTTAATGTTGTAAGTGAAAGTGTGACCAAGTAGCTAACATATCAGTCAGTGAGATACAACGTAGGACTAGGCACGTATATGCACCGGTCCAAGTTGCCATACCCCGTTAGCACAAGAAGAATACAGGATTCACAGAAGTAGTTAATTTAATGGTGGTAATTTATAAAAGAAAGGTTGTATATAAGAATATAGTACAGGAAGAAAGACAGATATGAAGCAATTTTAATCGCAATGTTTAAGGGAATATAAGGAGTGTATACATCTGCGCCATCGCGATCGATTCTGAACCATATCACGCAGAGTCTCCAACCATTGGTTACTATAGTCACGCGGACCCCAACCAAGTAGTCTGCATCTGCCAACATGGCTTAGACTAGAAGTTAGTGACTTCAAGCACTGATTCCACGTTATGGTTTGGTCGCCCCTAACTCTCTTCCAACCATCGCCAATGTAGTTAACATATCAGGTGTTTTTATTTTAATCCTAAGTGCCGTCTTCTTATATTACCTACATAATCATTGTAACTACTCAAATATACTCTTTAATATCGACAAACATTTTTGTCTCTTGCCATAGTGTTGTTGCTTAGTATTCTTATACGATGACACTCAACAAGACCCCAAAATCAGAACACGTTGAACAGGAATGAAATTGTATTCAAAATAATAATGATAAGTGAACAGCAATCAGCAATCAATAGTTTAAATATCGTTCATATATTTATAGTATATACATAAGAAGCTTCTAGATTTTTCTCCAATAATATGCCCGGGCTGATCGGTTTAGAATTAGCCAATCAGCGCGTAGCAACATCATCATGCATAAAACATGCTTTAATCCAATCTATGTCCCATTAACACATAGAATATCTCATAAATTTACCATGACATTTTGAACTGATGCATGTTATCATTTCGAACAAAATCCCCTAGTTACCTCAATGTTTGTTTCATCATTTATACAGTATTCATAATATTATGGTGTGGTCTACTTATATCTGCATAAGTAGTATATGGTGATGGTCAGACATAATGTATTTTGGCAGAAGATCGATAAGGAAAGAACAGGAACGAATTTGCAATCTATACGAAAAATGCATGAACAATGAAATCAGAGAAGGTGGACTGATATTTTCAGAAGGAACAATCAAGATTGTGATAATTGATTGATAGTTTACAGATTAACTGCTTACTGTATGGGTATTAGATTGTAGTGGGATTGTCTATAATTTGTGTTTGAATACATTCGATTGTCCCCCTACGTCTTCTTGTTCACTACATTAGTATTGATGGATAATACGCTTAGATTAGTTTCTTCTTGTAAATATTATCACAAATCATAGTCGAATTTTAAATTTAGTAATATTTCTTTACAAAGAAATAAGGTCAATATATCCATTCGTAGTTGTTAGTTTATGAAGACGTGAACTATTCGCCTCAATTGTATTCTATACTAATTCTTCTTTAACTTAACCTTTTGTGATCATTCTCAACTTACAATGTGTACGCGTGAAAATTGGTTCGTTTGGAGTTATTATTCTCCATAAGTGGCATTCTATGAACTATTTTAATTTCTCCATGTATTCCACAAAAATCTCTTTCTTTATTTGTTCAAAATAACATTGGAAACGTCTTTTACAATGTATCATTCATGATGCTTACTAATCGTAGCAATGCATATTAACGACTATTGGTTTTGAGTTATCTTTATTTTTATGCATTAGATTTCATGAGAGATCAGGAGATATAAATATAATTGAAGCGATTACTGAAATCCTTCTTCTTAAAATTAGTATCCTCTGTTTTAATTAGATAAGACTTTTTCATTGACTGGTCACCCAATCTTGTATTATCTTGTATCTTAGCTATATGATTGAACTTAGGCAAGGACAAGGATAAACAACATCGAATGATCAGTAACAGTCCATGAATTTATTCATGTAGCTGTTTCATTACTCTGTACTTCCCTAATTTATTGATATTGTACATAGTCTTCTTTTTGTAAGATTCTATCTGTTCTATGCTGTTACTAAAATGGCCACAATGGTTATCAAAATTTACTGAGATAGTCTGTAATTTGCGATTAAATACATTCTATTGTCCCCAGTCGTGTTCTCATTTCCTACAACATGAGTAAGGAGTTGACATTTGGTCAAAACAAAAAAAAACAAAAGCAAATATATTTAGGATATAATTAGAAAATAAAACAGTTTAGTATCAAAGAACACAATTACATTTCATAAGTTGAAATATCACAGTTACACTTCTCATAATAATAATAATAATAATAATAATAATAATAATCAGTCTTTCATTTAATGTTAATACATAGTAACTAAGGGAAACAAACAAACATACAAATAAACAGTATACAATTAGATGATCAAATTTTACAAACAAACAAACAAAAATATACTACGGATCTAATTTTATATAAAAAACAAAATGATTTCATAATATAACTTATAAAGATTCAATTAAACTTTACATAGAAACATCTATATTACTTTTTATTGATTAATTAATGTATCCATGCAAAAAAATACAAAAAAAGTAGTATATATATATGTGATAAAATTCAAACAAAGAGAATAATAATAGTAATTCAATTTATTCACGATTATCATTTTTAATATTCAAAACAAATAGATTAAGCATGAAATGTTCTAGGCAACACAAAATAGATATATTCAAGAAAAGAAAAGAAAAAAGAACAATGAAGATTTCACTATTCTATTGAGTTATACTTTAAGGTTCCAGATCATAACTATTAAACATTTGATAATCAATTTACTATGAATAAATAAATAAATAAATAAGATCGATATAGGTCTACCTTTTTATGAGCGTTCGTTAGTGATGTTGTTGTTGCTGAGAGATTCGCAATACATGAATAAATAAATAAATAAATAAATAAAGATCGATATAGTTCTAATTTTTATGACTGTTTGTCTTTGGCGTTGTTTTTATTGTTGTTGCTGGGATATCCACAATATTTGAATTAATAGATAAATAAAAAAAATCGATATAGTACTACTTTTTATGAGCGTTTGTTGTTGATGTTGTTGTTGATGGGAAATTCGAAATATATGAATGAATAAATAAATAAACAAAAAAGATCGATATAGTACTACTTTTTATGGGTATTCGTTGTTGTTGTTGGTGGTGGTGGTGGTGGGAAATTAACAACATATGAATAAATCAATAAAATCGATATAGTACTACTTTTTATGAGCATTTTTTGTAGTTACAGTTGTTGTTGCTGGGGAATTCGCAACATTTTCAATCTTACAAACATTAGTAACTGTGTAATAAAATGTTCTTTTTTTAATTTTTTCTTCTCAATCTGTTCAAATCAATTAATTAGTTTAAACAAATTATTATGAAATTGTATAAGTAAATAAATAGTGAATGACTATCCAAAAAAAGAACAAAAACGAAAAAGGAAACATGGATCGGTAAAAAGAAAACGTTTAGGCTAGTAAAAGTTTTGGTATAAAAAACTGACAACAAAATACCATGCATATATTTATCTACTATTCTAGATATAAGTAGTAAAAGCAAAAGCCAAAAAAAATAATAAGGACAATTCTTGAAACAAATATATAAATTCATTATTTTTAATCCCTGAGGTCAATTGGAGATTGTTACTACCTGTTAGATTAATTTGTTCTGTTGTTTGATCAAGTCTTTAATTTAATTAACTAGAAATGACTGAAACCAGATATTTGAAGCTGTTGTAAAAACAAACAAACAAACAAAGTGATCAAAGGAAAATGAGTTGTTTAATTTTAAATTCACATTATAAACATACATATCATAAGCAAATAATAATACACAAGCATTGTAAGCAAAGATGGGTAGTGGCCAGCACTGGAATCCAGGACGCGTGTTTCGACTCAGTGGCCAAGTAGATAACGTGATGGCGTTTGAATTGAAAGGTGCTGGGTTCGAGTCCCAGAGTGAACATCAACTCTAAGATGCAAAGGTACATCCAGCTGACGAGTCCCGAATATGACGAAATGCACGTCAAACTGGATTCCACTGCTAGCCATTATCCATTTTTGCTTACAATGCTTATGAAATAAGGCGATATCAAGGCAATAAGCACAGTATGAACATATGCCAATTAGAGACTGACCAGTTGCAGTCCTAAACATCAATAGGAAGATTCAAACAAGTAATACTAAGTGAATTTAATAATAACAATAATTGTTATTATTATTATGATAAGGGTAATATTTTAAATCCCATAAGTTTCTGCAGGAATATAAAACATTTTAAAAAAGAATACACAACGTTACGTACTATATTTCTGAGCTGATAATTTTGTGCTAGTGGCCCATTATTGCATTTAGAACGTGGATTTCATAATATAATCTGTTATAACTGTATTGCTAATAAACAGCCCAGCTACTCCTATTGCTTAGTATTCTTATGCAATGACAGTCGACAAGACCCCAAAAATCAGAACACGTTGAACAGGAACGAAATTGTATTCAAAATAACAAGGGTAGGTGAACAGCAATCAATCATTAGGAAAAACACGTTCATGTATATATAGTATATGCATAAGAAGCTTCTAGATATTCCTCCAATAATATGCCAGAGCTAATTGGTATAGAATTACCCAATCAGCGTGCGCCGTCACGATCATGCACATAATGTGCCTTAATCCGGTTTATTTTCTGCTAACATAATCATACTCTGATTACAAATAATATCAAGACATCTATCAAGGAAAAGCCTATATATAGTCACAGAATTTAATCAGATTGATACGTCTTACTGGTTGAACGCTATATTCGGATCCTAAGATAGTTTCGTAATCCCCGAGGTAGAACTGCAAAGTGACTTTTACAGGAGAGAAAAGGCACAAAATATGTGGGAAGCACTTTACTCCAAGGTTCGTTTTATATGCAGAAAATATAGAGTTTTTATAGTATTTTAAAAGTCCTTGGGTCAATTGAAGCCAGACCACCATGGGAAACTTTCAAGCACTGGAAGGCCGATTCGTTTTATTGTGGAACTCCTCAGCAGTGCGCATCCACAATCCCGCCTCAAGAGATTCAAACCTAGGATCTATCAATCTCGTGCAGGAGCGATTAACCACTAGACCACTGAGCCGGCATCCGATGGTGTTAATGTCTGACTTCAAATAATCCACGAAGTTAAACAACTGTTAATTCACCGATACATTTTTTTAATACAATAAAACAAACATTTTTTACATATGAAAGAAATTCTTACCTTAACTAATATTCCAAGTTGATCTTAATGGGTTACTGTACGGATGATTATACATATTAGGATGTTTGAGATATGGTTCATGTAGATTATAATGATTAATTTTTGACGGAACTGTACCAGATGTTGTTGTCATTAATGGTATTGAGGATGATGATAATAATGAATTGGTCGTTGTTGTTACTGATATTGTTAATGGTACAGTATAATCTACTTGTCTATGGCAGTTAATTGATGGTCGAAATGAATCAGATTTTAATTGATCTAATGTATCTCTATAATACAAAAGATATTAATGATATATTAAGATCTAATGGATTGTTCAGACAGAAGTCAATCATATGAGATATACTTTCAAGAACTTTTTTGATTAGTATGTTCAGATGCATAGGTATTATTTAACTATACTTTTACTTATATTGTATGTATACTTTGCAAGGACGTTCTTTTCATCAGGCTTTTCAATACATAATACATCACCACACCATTAGTTTATTTATATCATATGGAACATTTAGTCAGTTTATATTACTAAAGGATGTCAGTCGTTAATATCAGTTTCGGAGTTACTCATTGAATTACACCTACATGTTATCTCTCAATGAAGATCTCAGATATGATGATCTTTTAAAGTACTAGAAGTCGACATCATGTACTTCGAGAGAAACTGAATAAGCAAATAAATTTACTCTTTAACCAACTGATAGATTACCACTTAAATTTAGATAAGAATAAAGGCTATTGTAAAGTTTTGAAATAAACACTAAAGGATTACTAGTTTTATACAATTATAATTTAAATGAACAAATCTTTCTGAATATAGTTTATTTACACACTGATATAAATTTTAATAGTTGAAATCATGAATCACTTGAAGCTAGATCACAATGGAAAACCTGGAAGCACTGTTTAACGGCCGTTTCTTCCTATTGTGTGACTCCTCAGCAGTGCGCATCCAAGATCCCGCACTCGCGAGATTCGAACCCAAGACCTACCAGTCTCGAGCCAGAGCCCTTAATCGATAGACCACTGAACTGGTATCCAACGGTGTTAATGTTTAACTTCAATCAATCCACGAAGTTGAGCGACACATCCACTATTGTCTTCAGTGAGTTGATATCTCACGTGGTTTGAACTCCACTGGTCACTGCTTCTCATTACAACTCTTGGATGTACTTCTCGAAGTCAGTGACTAGTGAGCATATGATTATATTAATTATCAGAAGGGGTTGACTCACGCTTTCAACTATGAAAATACTAAATCTCCACAAAACCCCTCTTGATAATTAATATTATTACAATGTTTCTATACTACTATAATAATAAATAAGTAGTAGATTTTTCATAAATGATAACCATTATAAACAGCTTCAAAGATCTATCAACTAAAGATAAACAGTAATATAGATTGTGAATTATGTAACGTCATATATAAATTTATTGTTATGTTATATAAACTATATCACAAGACAAGTGCCAAATTGAAATTTCGAGGAGAAAAAGAAATGAGGGGAATCAAAGAACATTGTCCTGGGAATTGGAAGAAGACAGAACAGAGGTTAAAAGACAAGGCTGGTGGCTGACCTATGCTTCTCTATGAGGGGTAACAGAAGTAAGTAAGTCATATTACAGTTTTTCTGGGGATTTTCATTATATTGCTTGTTGTTTACTAAATTTACTAAAATTTCCAGTAGCTGAAATTTTTTGATGTTTTTTACTATTTCTACGAAGTTTGAGCAACTGTTCACCATTTGTGTTCAGTAAGTTGTTATCTCACAACAGATGTGGTTGAACTCCACTGGTCACTGCTTCCCACTAGAACTCCAGGACATGTATCTTGAAGTCAGTCAATAGTGAGAATATGATTATAATCAGAAGGGGTTTTGTGGATATTTCAGTATTTTGTGCATTGTTGAAATCATGAGTCAATTGAAGATAGACCACCATCGAAAGACTGGTAGGTCCTACTATTTATTTGTTGACACTAAAGAAGTTTCATGTAGTGTATAATAATGAAAGTAATATGAACAAAGTCAGTCATAATAGGTCATTCAAATTCCCAAGATATCATCTCTCAAATCTATAGTTACATGTCCTCTTGTACATTGTACCCTTTGACCCCATATAGTTTCTTGTGAACTATATTTATATTACGCTTTCCATAGATGATATTATATTCACTCGATTGGTAATTACCCTGTTTCGTCTTTGTACTTTTGCTTGTCTAAAGTGTTTCAACTTTTACTAATGATCAATCACGTCAAGTCGCATGTTATCTGAGACTAAATATGTAACTTGATAGGAAGATAAACAGATCTTTAATGTAACATATGATATGTACTTTTAATTGATACTGATATCTTTTACATGAAGATCAATTACTGACTAATATGGGTAAATTTAAATCTGTTCAACGTTTATGAACGTCTCTATGGTGACGAAGATTTCTAAACTTTAGTAAACGGTAGATAAAATTATAACAATGTACAACATTAAATTCATTTAGTGTTATTTGCTTGTATCTTCCCATCAGTCTCTTGTTCGAATATGTTCATCATGTGAGGATTGTCTCGATATTGCCTTAATTCACAAGCTTCATAAGCAAAGATGGATAGTGGCAAGCAATGGAATCCAGGACGCGCGTTCCGTCCTATTTGAGACCCATCAGTTAAATGTACCTGCATCCCAGAGTTGATGTTTGACGTTTGACTTGAATGATTTTGGGTTCAAGTCCTACTGTGAATATCAACTGTGAAATGTAGGTACATCCACAACATAATTCATATTCAAAAGTTCTTCTAATATCAATGGGAAAAAGTTAGAATTAAAATATGAATAGATAAATTAGATTTATTCAACATACCTCGCTTTTTGTAATCTAAACATGACAGATTTATCATATAACTCGTTCGACTGTGATTCTTTATTAAATGACTGTAGTAGCAATAATAATATAAAAAAAAGAAAAAACAGAAAGAAAAAAAACAAAAAAAGAAAAAAAATAAGAATGAGATTTTCTGAAATGCATCCGTTTTTCACTTCAATAGTCATATTTTATCCAAATCACTGACAAATATATTTGATATTGCTTACTTGTATCTACAATTGATCAGTCTCTTATTAGTATATGTGCATGCTGTGCGAACTGTCTCGATATTACCCTAAACTACAAACTTCATAAGGAAAGATGGATAGTGGATAACAGTGGAATCCAATAAGAGACTGATCATTTGAAGTCCTAAACAAGAATAGGAAGATACAAGTAAACAACATCAAGTGAATTTAAAACTTCACCCCATTGTACAAGCAGGTGGATATTAGGACTCAGTAGATAAGTGGATAACGCGATGGTGTTTACAGCGAATCGTTTTAGGTTCCAGTCTCAGAGTGAACACCAACTCTGAAATGAAGGTACATCCAGTTGATGAGTTCCAAATAGCACGGAACGCGCATCCTGAATTCCAATGCCAGCCATCATCCATCTTTGCTCACTGGTAAATATAATTCCTCACTTACTTACGCCTGTTACTCCCAATGAAGCATAGGCCGCCGACCAGCATTCTATAAACTACTCTGTCCTCGGCCTTCCTTTCTAGTTCTATCCAATTTTTGTTCATTCTTCTCATGTCTGTCTCCATTTTTTGGCGTAATATGTTCTTTGGTCTTCCTCTTCTCCTTTGGCCTTCAGCATTCCATGTGAGGGCTTGTTTTGTGACGCAGTTGGGTGATTTCCTCAATGTATGACCTATCCACTTCTTCCTCATTTCTTCCTCCACTGGGTGGAATCTGACTTGTTCTCTCTCTCTCACAGTAGCTTGTTTCTGATTGTGTCTGGCCAACGGATCCGAAGTATCTTGCGTAGACAACTGATAATAAACACCTGTATCTTCTGGATGATCGCTTTCGTAGTTCTCTAAGTATCCTCTCCATACAATAGAACTGTCTTGATATTTGTACTGAAAATTCTGATCTTGGTGTTGGTTGACAGACAATTGTTTTGAGTTCCAGATGTTCTTCAGTTGTAAATATGCTGCTCTTGCTTTGCCGATCCACCGGCGTTTAAGAATATAATTGATAAGTCTTTTATTGGCATATGTGGATATCTGAGGATTGTCTCGATATTGCCTTAAGCCATAAGCATTATAAATTGAGATGGATGGTGAACGAAACGCGTATCCTGGATATCACTGCTAGCCACCACCCATCTCTGCCTATAAAGGTAAAATGGTTTTCAATTTCTAGATGATAATTTTTTGTCCAATGTCTAACCAATCACATATACATTGATTGACTAGTGATTTTTAACCACCGATGAACCAGTGTAAATCAAATAGCTATTTTAATTCAGTTTTTAAATTGTCATTAGTCCACTTCAAAAGATTACTAATATTTGAACACATAATTTAATCATGCGAGGGCTATGATACTGCCCGGGTGGCCAAAAAGGAAGCAGGTATTTTTCTTAAGAGGTCACACTCGGAGCCATTCACCTAAATATCTGATCCAAATGGCAGTGGATCATCGTGAGGAGATGCAGTCACATGGTAGTCGATGACCAACGATTGGTTCATACGCTATTTGTTCCCTCAGGATACTGGAGCCCATATGGGTTTTGCAAATCCCCTAGGTTGACTTTCTGTGTCCACAACCCGGAGAAAGTACCAGACAGTTGCTTTCCGTTCTGTCAATTTCGTAAACAACACCCACGCCACGAGAAGACAGTGAGTAAGACTTCTTTGACAGAGGCTGTATAAGCGTAGCCGTGTAAGAGAATTTCGAGGGAGAGAGAGAGCGGACCCTCCGCACTCTCGGCCGTACCAGGGCGTTTGAGGGCCACTTCGAATTTACTTATTTAAACACATAAATATTGGTACAAGGAAGCACCAGATAAATATGCGTCTTACAAATCTCATTCGATTTGTGTGAGGGCTGTGATACTGCCCAGGTGCCCAGACTGAAGCAGGTGGTTTACTTAGGGAGCCACACCCAGAGCCTTTGACCTGAATGTCTGATCCACAAGGCAGTGGAGCATCGTGAGGAGATGCATCCCCATGGTAGCCGGTGATCAACGGTTGATTCGTACGCCATTTCTCCCCTCAGGATACTGGGGCCCATGTGCACCATTGGTTTGGAATCAGAGTTTTCCAACTCCCCTAGGTGGACCCTCCGTGTCAACCAACCCGGTTAAAGCGCCGGACATTCGCTTTTCGTCCTCTCACTTTCATAAACAACACCCCCGCCACGAGAAGGCAGTGAGTAGGACTTCCCTGGCAGAGGCTATATATTCGCTGGCCATATGAGAGCATTTCGAGAGGGAGAGGTGACTCTCCCCACTCTCGGCCGTACCAGGGCATTTGGATAAATAGTATGTTCATGAATTTCCTGAAATTCTAACAACAAGCAATGACTAACAGAGTCAAGCAGTTCTATAATGTAACATTAATTTGTTTGACGGTATTGAATAAAGATTGTAATATTTCACAAATTGTTTAAAAGTGAAAACATGTGCACCTGAACTATAAGACTTGAATTTGTTATATTCTATTCAATGTGTGTTTGTGTGTAAGCAACACTGACGAATACTGATTAAGGACGAAACATTTATTTAGTTCGCTTTGTTTGTGTTATATGCCGTGGAGATTTATGAATGGTAACTTTTGAGAACTATTTATGAAGCAATATGATATGTATATTTCCTACTGTATAATTGCTAAGTAACTAAACTAATCATATTCGTGTCCCTTTTATTATAAGCTATGTTTTGACCCATGAGCTATTACTATACGATTTACCGTTCTTTAGTTATCTCTAGTCCATTAAGTACTATCCCCCCATTCACAGCCACATTTGGCCAAATCTTGTACAAATGTTATTTTCTATTTTATAGTACGATGTGGTCAGTTTGTTTGATATATAAACCCAGTATGTTTGAGAATAATGATTGATATTGCAGAGGTGGTTATTGGTGTTCGGAACTTAACTGCCTGAGCTGGGCTAGGCAGAAAGCATGACTGATAAGTGCTCAAGATTGCTCATACGGCTTTTGTGTATCATTGCTCTGATCGATAGTTCACTCCTCCCTAATTGGCGGGGATCATCACGTCATATATATAAACAGGGCACGTACACACACAGACGCAATCATTATCACAGTTTGTCTACGACTCTTCAAATAACATCATTTCGTGTTAAAACCATCATTGTTATAACCACTATTTTATTTTACTCAAACTTTTTCTTCATTCATTCATTAGTTTATTACAATAACAATAAAGAACAATCATTTTACCTCATATGAATCACTATTCGATAATTGATTCAGTGAATTTAAATTAACCGGTTCCATAATAAGACCCATTTGAAATTGTTTCAATAATGATTGTACAGAAGAAGCAGCATCTCTTGCTTTTTCTTCAATACGATAAACACTATTGGCTAAATCTGCATAATCTGAACGTAATTTTTCGAGTAATACATTGGTTGAATGATGATTTGTAAAATCAAATGGTTTCCGTTGATTGGGAAAGTAATTATATGGTGAATGTTGATTAGAATGTTGACCATAGTAATCAGTGATATGATTTGGATCATGATGACATTGTAGATGATGTTGATTATGATAATGTCCATATTTCGTTGGTGTATAAGTAGGTAAATTCAATGAATCCTCTTTAATCATTGGTTTATATAAATTTGTTGGATAACTTTTTCTATTCTGATCATCATCATCATTAATATCATGATTAGTTGTTAATAAAGTTGATGGTGTTTGTGCATAGTTTCGTGTACTTTCACGTATTATGGACGCTTGTTTTTGTTGCTATGCAAAATTACATTCAGAGTAAAATAAACAATTAAGCATAAAATATATAAAGATCTTTTAAAAAGACTGATTATAGCTTGATTAAATCTCCGCCTGTAGCCCATCCGTAGGCTACTGCCGGTCCCAAACCCGTATAAAGGAGGAGGGTTGAGCATGGGGTTATCTATCTATCTATCTATCTATCTATCTATCTATCTATCTATCTATCTATCTACCTATCTACCTATATATATATATATATATATATATATATATATATATTAGTTTTGCACTCTTGAATCAAGGAATCGGCGAGACTATAATTTATGGACGACCTTTGAACGAATCTTATTTAACCTTGAGAAATATTAACCAATCAGGAAACAGATGGCATAAAGTAAAATATATTATACAAAATCACTGAATTAAAGTGGATACACTTCTTTTATATGGTGCTAAATCTTGTCAAGCTTAGAAAGAGGTTTAAAAGTTCTATAATCGTAATGCATAAGGTAGAGGAACTCATCCATATCGTTCCATAAGTCGGTCTCTGGAGCCATGATAAGGTTGCAGAAAATCTCTCAGCCTCGATCACATAGCTTCAGTATTGTTTGTCTGTGCTCTGGTTGTGTAAGTTAATCATTTTTATTATGGGCATGTACCAGCAATACTCGTACCACTGAACATCCGAATCTTCAGTAAAATCTGCGATTATTGCATCCAATGTTGCTGGTGCTTTTATTACGCAGTTCGTGGCAACTATTATTATATTCCTTAGACTCATTCTACATCGAGCGATAAAGTTTCCTATTCTAGCAGACGTTTTCCTTCAAAATATGTTACATCAGAGGACAACATCACGGTAGTCTGCTCGAAATCTTCAAGTCATTTAATTACCGCAATTACATAATAAAGGAACTTATTAGTAGTCTCATTTACTGTAGCTACCTAAGTGTCAAGTCCACTCTAAAATCCTCTGTGAACCGACCGTTAATGAACACGAAGTACTAAAATTAGCGCCGTGACCTTCAAATCCCTCAAACTCTTCTGATTGGCTCGTCCATAAATTATAATCTCACCAAGGAATCTTCACTAAGGTAAACTTGCCTTGTGAAAATAAATTTTATTCTGAATACTTTAGAAAGATATAAATACTTTTGTAAATGATTTTGGATAGTCTGTGGGCATTTTTGATACATAATAATTCTTAGTACTAATGGATTTAAGAAATTATAACCTGAATTAAATATACTAACATTCTGGTTAGTTTACGTTTCTGTATGTCGTTAGTTAACCTATGATAGTCTATCACTAATGTTATGATTCAGCAGAGAATTTACTTGAAAAATGGAATAAATCATTATTGATAAACAAATTTGTATTTTCAGAAGGGATTTGTGGATATTATAGTAGTTTTTAATAGTTGAGATCATGAATCAATTGAAGTTAGACCATCATGGAAGTTAGACATTAGCACCGTTGGATGTCAGTCGGCTCAGTGGACTAGTGGTTAAGCGTTCGCTCGCGGAAATGATAAGTCGTGGGTTCGAATCTCACGGGACAGAATAGTGAATGCGCACTGCTGAGGAGTCTCACAATAGAACGAAACGACCGTCTAGTGCTTCCAAGTTTTCCTTTGTGGTCTGGCTTCAATTGACTCATGCTTTCAACTATGAAAATAAATGTATTCCTTAACATTATTTTTACTTACTTTATTTAACAAACCATTAACCATTTCATGAGCTTTATTCAACACATGTTCTCTATTTTCTTGTATTTTTTGTATATCATATAATCTTTGACGTAATATTCTATTAGCTGATGTTAAGGCATCAACTCTTGGATCACTTGGTATTGGATTACTTAAAGTTTGTTCATATTTATCTCTAAAAAAGTTAAACAAAATACAAAGATATAAAGTAAGTAATTAATGGAAATAGATTATTTTTGTTATAATAAACTAAATATATTTTTAGAAGGGGGTTTTAGCAATTTTCTAGTGAGAAGCAGTGACCAGTGGAGTTCAACGACACCTGTTGTAAGATATCAACGGTGGCGGAATTTCGTGGATTGGTTGAAGTTGGACATTAATACCTTCGGACGCCAGGCTGCTCAGTGGTCTAGAGGTTAAGTGCCAGCGCTCGAGACAGATAGATCCTAGGTTCGAATCTCGTGAGGCGGGATCGTGGATGCGCACTTCTGAGGCTTCCCATGATAGGACTTAACAGCTGTCCAGTGCTTCCAGGTTTTCCATGGTGATGTAGCTTTAATTGACTCATGATCTCAACTATATAAATATTTTTTTCATTAGGAAAATGTGAAACATATAGTGGAGAACAGTACAACACTGAAATAACATCAAAATAAAACTATTAAGGATAGTAATCACTTGTTATCAATTAATAAACTTATTAGAATTGTAAAATTTTAATCATTGAATAATAAGTAGAGCATATATGAATGCTTTTTTATTCATTTATGCAAGAAACTATATAGTACTGAGGATGACTTAAAATAAAATGAAACAAATAAGTAGTGAAATTCATTTGAGAATACTTTTTCAGTCTCTCTCTTCCTCTACCGGATGGGATCGCTAATCCCATACCTGACCCGCTTCCTTTATCCCGGTTTGGAACCGGCCGTAGCCCCTGGATAGACTGTAGGCGGAGTTATATATATATATATATATATATATATATATATATATGCTAATCAAAAATACATGAAGATAGGATAAAAACCATTGACAATACATCACGGACTGGTCTTAGTTAGAAAATCATTGAAAACAAGAAGACATTGGACAAGCGTTTTGTTGTGCTGTGGAACACCTCAATGATGAGGATTCACAATCTCACCAGCGATCCAGACCAAGACCTAGATCTATCCTAGTAAGTGTTTAACCTCTAGACTACACTTCTATTTTCAAATAAATTGTGATTTTGAGCAATTATCTTCCTATTCTATTAAAGGATAACTATCTTACAATCGATCATATCATGGATAGTAATATTTTTTTGAAGTTTATTTATCAGGATTTGTAGACCTTTTTTTCTGAGTAAATGAAAATGTCACCATCTTTGTCCGTTAAACATTTTCACCGAATTCGCCAAAGTGTCATAGCACTAACGTTAATTGACCTAATCCTGTTACCTTAATTATAACAATAGGACTTGATTTCGTCACATAAAAAGAAATCTATCACATATATGTTACTGAAAGTGCTTTCGGATTGGTCAACTAATCATAAATAATTAAGTAATTTTAATATTGACTGTTAACTATCTTATATAGTTGAAATCATGAGTCAATCGAAGCTAAACCACCATGGAACACCTGTAAGCACTGGACAACCGTTTTGTCCTACTGTGGGACTCCTCGGCAGTGAGCGTCCACGATCCCGATTCGCGAGATAGGACTAAACGGCTGTCTAGTGCTTCCAAGTTTTCTATTGTGATCTAGCTTCAATTGACTCATGATTTCAGCTATCTATTAAAAAAAACAACTATGCCATTCATTTTTATAAAATATACCTTTCAATTGTACCTAATTCCCTTTCAATTGAATGACATCGTCTCCTTAATCTATCCAATGATCCAGAAGAGAAGTCTGAATTTCGATGAAATGAAGAATTTGGATGATGAATAGAACGTAAGTTATTTCGACGTGAACTAAATATAAATATTTTTTAAAAGAGAAAATCACATAAAATCTATGTATTTGTGAAATAAACAGTTACACAAGAGAATCTGTTAATAATCTAATGAATGGTAATATCAGTTCCTCTTTAAAAGTCAATAATATATCTACATCAATTAATTATAGTACTCAAACTAGAGCATAATATAGTGAACAAGATGACAGGTGGGGTCAATCGAATGTATTTGACATGAGAATTACAGATTATCTCACTAAAATCTGACAACCATACAACAAACAGTTAATTTGAAAACTATTAAACAATTGTCTCAATCTTGATCATTACTTCTGCAAATATCAGTTCATAGTCTCCGATTATTATTGTTCATGCATTTTCATATCCATTACGTTTCGTTTCTGTTCTTTCTTTATCGATCTACTGAAATATATTTTATACCTGACCATCAATATATACTACTTATGTGGATATAAGTAACTTACACTACCAATAATACTTAATAGTATCGAAAATGAATTAATTTATGAGTTAACAATAGAATTTACTTGTATATGATCAAATATTAGATAAATAAAATAATGGATTGGAATAACTAATCATAAGTCAATAATGCTTAATTTCATGTTGAAATAGCTGGAATTATCAATAATGTACATTGTAATATGATTAGAAATAAATTGAAGATAAACCAATGTTCTTCATTTTATATAGTTGAGATCATGAGTCAATTGAAGCTGGACCACCTCTAAAGACCTGGAAGCACTGAACGGCCGTTTCGACATATTGTGGGACTCCTCAGCAGTGCACATCCACGATCCCGACTCATGAGATTCGAATTCAGGACCTATCAGTCTCGCGCTCGAGCACATAACCACCAGACCACTGAGCCGGCATTCAACGGTGTTAATTTCTAACTTCAACCAATTCACAAAATCGAGCAACTATTCGCTAATGTCTTCAGTGTGTTACTATATCACAATAGATCTGTTTGAACTCCACTGGTTACTGCTTCTCATTAGAATCCAGTGAGTTAAGCGCTCGTGTGCGAGACTGATTGGTCTCAGGTTCGAATCTCTCAAAGAGGGATCGTGAACATGCACTGCTGAGGAGTCTCACAATAGGAAGAAACGGCCATCCAGTGGTTCCAGGTTTTTGGAGGTGATCAAGCTTGAATCGACTCATGATCTCAACTATATAAGATTCATTTTATTGTTAATAATTATAGTCAAAAAGATTACAATAAACAACTGTCAATTACTTACTGAACACTTTTGTTGTGTAATTCATTTTCACATGAATTGTTTTCAGTTTGTAGGTTTGTTGAATGAAATTGTTTCGGTAGATTATTTGCATACTCAGAATGAATATATGTAGGTGAATCTGCATTTTGTTTATTTATCTGTAATTAATATATATACTTTATTACTTTAGATAATTATTTACTTCTTGTTGCTATGCAAGAATCATGTAGGTACTTTGATGTCTTGATCTGTTATGTCCCGATAACAATAGTGAATGGTAACTTTGGGATCCATTTATGGACCAATATTATGCATATAATTTTTATCGTTTATTTGCTAAATAACTAAACTATTTGTATTCATGTTCCCCTTATCGTGAGCTTTATTTCGACCTATAAACTATTACTGTACGATTTACCATTCTTTAATTATCCCTAGTCTATTCATTGCTGTCTCCCACATTCACAGCCACATTTGGCTAAATCTTACACAAACGTTATTTCCTATTTTATTGGTACGATGTGGTCAGTCTGTTTGGTACATAAATTCAGTATGTTTGAAATACAATGATTCATACCGCAGAGGCTGTTACCGGTATTCTGGACTTCACTGTCTGGGCTAGGCAGAAGCAGGACCGATAAGCACTCTAGACTGCTCGTACAGTTTCGTGTGTCACTGTTCTAATCGATAGTTCGCTGCTCTCTGATTGGCGGTCTTATCACATCATACGTTAACTGGGCATCCACTCGACCACAAGTTATAACATGAACATTAACGTATTTCGAGTAAACAATTTTGTTTACAACTAATAACAACAATTTATGAAGTAAAATTCATTATCTAAAGACCAGTAAGAACAAATGATCACTTAGTAGGAGAATGATATAACTTTTTGAAGTTATTTCCACGAAGAAGACATTATCCCTGGATATACTCAAGAAACTAGGCAGTGATTTCAATTTATCATGTAATTGATCGCAATGAAACATCAAAACTGAAATCGAAATTACTGATGTTGAAAATTCAAAGTCTTGAAGTAATAAATTAGCTGTAGGGATATATATCGGTCAATCAGTCAGTCAGACACAACATATAACTTCGTATGTACGTACATCAGTTTGAGCTGCCATACCAGACTAACGGAGATGCAGTTGTCGATTCAAATCCCATAGTCGTAGAAAAAGTAAGAGTATAAGCATAAATGTGAAAGATTAGGGTTTGAAGGTGTAATTCAAGGAGTATAATCCAGTGAAATAAATTTGGAAAGAGAAAAAAAAGAAACATGAAGAATTCAGAAGATTAGAATTTGGGAGAATACAAAAAATGGATGCACCTTCGCCATTGCAAACGATTTTCAGCCATGTCATTCAAGGTCTCTAACCATCAGTTGCTATCATCTAGCAGATGGTGGAAGTTGGTAAGCTCTTAGACGTGTTGTAATTTTTTTAATAAATAAAGTACACTGAAATGATATCTTCGAGTTTTTCTTGGAGCTCTGAAGTTTACACGAAGATTCATATTTTGCAAAACTACTTACTGAGTTTGTTTGGTGAGCTTAACATTAATTGTATAGTGAAAATTAACTTCTCAGTAACATAGTAAGTTTCAATCTAATATATTATCATCCATACGACTAGTATCAACTAATATTAGAAAATGCTATCCCGTTGAGTTCATCAATATCTGTTAATATACGATTATATTCTGGTTAGTGTTAAGTCGGCTTACAGTAAACTCTATCAGAGTAAACAAAAAATAATTTTAGCCATATAACAACACATGATATAGTACGAGTTTATAAACGTTAGCATGGAGTGTCATACACAGTAACAATTACAGATATTAGAAGTGAGGTGTTGTGTTCCTTATAGAACACTCTTTCCTTTCATTTCGAAGAAAAGCATCACGGATAAATCCCATACATCATGAAACCTCGAAATTAAGCTTTCTGATTACTGACTTCAACTAATTAATATCAATTAAACTAATAAGTATACTATGACATAATCAATAGAGCCCAGTAAACATAAAGAAATGACCTTCACAACATTTTTCATTAAATATACGCTGTTCGACTAAAATTACATCCATCTAGTTTATTTACTGTACAAAATAGTAACTGTATTATTTTTATAGTTGAAATCATGAGTCGATTGAAGCTAGACCACCAAGGAAAACCTGGAAGCACTGCATGACGGCCTTTTCGTCCAATTGTGAGACTCCTCAACAGTGCTCATCCACGATCCCGCACTCGCGAGATTCGAATCCAGGATCTACCAGTCTCTCGATGGTGGTCTATCTTCAATTGACTCATGGTCTCAACTCTATAAAATAACTAAAATCTCCACCAAAGACCTTCTGATAATGATCATGTGCTCACTAGTGACTGGCTCTATGAGATATTTCTTGGAGTTTTAGTGAGAAGCATTAACCAGTGGAGTTCAACCACGTCTGTTGGGAGATATCAACTCACTGATGACATTGGTGAATTGTTGTTCAATTTCGTGGATTGGTTGAAGCTAGACATTAACACCATTGGATGCAGGCTTAATGGTCTTTTGATTAAGTGCTCTGGCGCGAGACTGGTAGGTCCTGGGTTCGAATCTCGCGAGTGCGGGATCGTGGATGCACACTTCTGAGGAGTCCCGTAATAGGAGGAAACGCCCGTCCAGTGCTTTCAGGTTTTCAGAGGTGGTCTAGTTTAAATTAACTCATGATTTCAACTATGAAAATACTGCAATCTCCACAAAACCCTCTTCTGAGTAACTATATTACTTTATAATGATTAATTTTAAATTCAAAAGTAGTTGTCAAAATTCAATAACAACAAAGAAATTGTATAACGTACATGACAATATTCTGAATGAAGATTTGTACAATGTTGATTATAATCTGGTTTATCATTGAAATTCAAAAAATAACTTATTGGTGAATGAATTGATCTATTATAATCTGAATCTTTAATAGTATTTCTCTTATTATCAATTGGAGATTGACTTATTTGTGTTCTTCGATTATTTGAACTATGTAATCTTCTTTCATGATGATCAAAATGATTATGATGATTGATGTTGTCATTTTTATCTAAACTTTTATTACGTACTTTCAATGAACTACGAACTTGACTATTTGATCTTGAAGATACTTTTCTAGGTTTTGACTAAACATAGAAAAGTTAAAAATAAATTAAAACAATAGAACAAATGATACAATTTGAATGTATTGAATAAGTAATACTGTGGGAACTTCTTCCAATGTCATTTAATAGTCACTGTCATACAACTGATATAGTTGAACTTCATTGACCATAGGTTCTCATCAGAACTTCTGGAACAACCTCTAGAAATCAATGAGATATTTGTATAGCTAATTTTTCATAATTTAATGCAGAAAAATTGGAGAGTTTTAAAAGATGAATAGTAGCCAAAAAGAAAGCTTAGATCAAACTATTATCACCTTTATTCAAGTCAATTTAACTAAAATATGCTAAATAAACAGGATATTTTATATAATTAAATTTAATTGCATAAATAACACCATTTTCAATTTAATAGTTGAATTCATGAGTCAATTAAAGCTAGACTACCATGGAAAACATAGAAGCACTGGATGATCCTGCCTCAAGGGATTCGAACACAGGACATATCTGTCTCTCACGCGAGAGCTTATTCTCATGACCATTGAGCCGTTATCCAGCAATGTTAATGTCTAACTTCAACCAATCCACTAAATTAAGCAACCATTCACCATTGTCTTCAGTAAGTTGATATCTCACAACAGACCCGGTTGAACTACACTGGTCACCGCATCCCTCTAGAACTTCAGGAAATACATCTTGAAGACCGTTACTAGTGAGCATATGATGATTATAATGAAAGTGAGATGGTCTAAAGGTTAGGCGTTCTCGCGAGAGACCAATATGTCCAAGGTTCAAATCTCGCGCGGCGGGATCGTTCAATGCTTCAAGTTTTTCATGATGGCTTCAACTGAATCATGAATTCAACTATTAAATTATTATAATATCCACAAAACCCCCCTTTCTGATTATAAACACTATTTTCAATTTAAGAAACAAAACATCTTGTACATGTGCTCATAAATTAATAAAAACAAGTTTTGAAAATTGAAAATACTGCAAAGAAAATTGAACAAGGACCATCTTAGATTATTAAAAGAGAACATTTATTTCTTTACAAATCGTTTATAGATCATGTTTCTAGTTAGTAATATAGTCTTAAAATTATATAATAGGGAAAAGAAATGTCAATTATGAGAGACACATACTTACTTACTTACGCCTGTTACCCCTCGTGGAGGAGCATAGGTGAGAAACACGTTTAATATTGATTTAATCAATGTTTGTTATAAACTCTTGATGACAATACTTTAATTATTCAATAATTTAATAAATAAATTAAAACAAAAATAGTGAGCAAAGATGGATTGTGGCTATCAGTGGAATCCAGGATGCGCGTTTCGTCTTATTTGGGACTCATCAACTGGATTTACTTGCATTTCAGAGTTGATGTTCACTCTCGTACTCGAACCCAATACCTTTCGCTTCAAACGACATCGTGTTCGAGTCCTAGAGTGAATATCAAATCTGAGACACAGTTACATATAGCTGACAAGTCCCAAATAGGATGAATTGCGCGTCCTAGATTCCACTTCTAACCACTGTCCATCTTTGCTTATAATGCTTTTGAATTAAAGCTATATCGAGGCTAATATATCACATAGTTCTGATAATCTTCGTCTTCTTATTACATTATCGAAATTTAGCAAAGGGACAAATTGCTTTATATATCGAGGCAATCCTCATATTATGCATATATGCCAATAAGATATTGACCAGTTGCAGTCCTAAGACATCAATGGGAAGATTCAAACGAACAATACTAAGTGAATTTAATTATGTTTTTAGTTTGGTTAAAATTTAATCAGATGATACTAGGTTATTAACCCGTGTGTGTATTACCTTTGACTTTGATGATAATTTTGAAGAACTAGATAAGTAGCAATCAAATCTTTGACGATCAGTATGATTTCCCATAGTATTTTTCTTTTTCTTTTCTTTTCTTTCACTGTATAATGTCTTTAATGGTAATTTATTATGATTCCTTGAACATAATAAATCATGACTAAAACTTCTATCTGAATATCGATTCATTTGTTCATGATTTGTTAAGCCATTGTTCAACACTTTACATCCAATAACTGATTGACATCGACGAGAATTCAGTTTAAAATCATCTTTCTTCTTATGAGTTACCGGTGCTTTAGATTTAAATGTCTGTAATGTTTGATCATCATTTTCTGAAGTAACTAAATATTCTGTAGGTTGATTTTTATTCTCATTAGTTTCTTGATCTGAAATAGGTGTAACACTATCAAGACAATCAGTATCATGATCTTTCATTAATTGTTGTAATGAATCAAGACTAGAATTTAATTTTTTACTTGATACTGAATTGTTACTTAGATTTGACATTGAACAATGTCTTTGTAAACTTTTGATTTGTTTACCATTACCATGATTTTTACTAATAATTTGATGACAGTTAATCTGGCTTTTATCGGTATTTGACTTTGTTATATTCATTTTAAGATCCTTTCGTTTGTTCACTGACCTCATATCATTCAATTGAGTGTCTTTATCTTCTAGTTCCCTTGATGTTTTATACCATTTCATATCGTATTTGTCTTGTTTCTTTCCATTGAAAGACTTTTCTTTAAATGGATTTTGATTGTGTTTAGATGGTGGTCGATTGTTTTTCTTTATATTGTTTGTAGGACTTACCTTATTATCAATGAAAGGTACTACATATTGAACAGTATTTTGATGATTTCGATAAAAATTCATACATTCATTTGGTAATATAAGTGAATGAACTGGAATTTTCTTATTCTTCTTCTTCTGTTGTTGTTGCTGTTGTTGTTGTCGGTGGTGTTGTCTATCTGGTTTATCCTTTTCATATGAACTTAAATATATTGGCCCATGAATTAGTTTACCATTGATATCAGTTAAATAATATGAATTCATACATTGAATAGCTGAATCCTCTGAATATGTTTCAGGTTGAGAAGTCAATGGAATTTTTGATGTATATAATAAAGTTGGTGTTATAGTATCCAAACTATTTGAAATATCCGTTTGACAAGTGGATGATTTGAATTCTAAATCTGAAGTATCATCAATTGTTTCACTTTCAGTTTCAAATTCTTTTCTTTGATCAATTGAAGATTCAGATGAAGTAATTAATTGAAGTATCGGTTTTAAATGATAAATTATTGGTGAAAATTTTGATTTTAATTTTTGGCGCTGTTTCATCATTTAAATGAATTAAAATAAATAAATGAACTTAAATTAGACGATGAAGATTGAATGAGTTCCCTTATTTGAATTTGGTTTCATTGTTTGTTTGTTTGTTTAGTTTGTTTTTTTTTGTAGAAAATCAAGTTAGACTCCATATACTGATATACCAGCATATAGATATATATAATGAAAAAGTGATACGTATGTTGTATTAAAAGAAAAAGGGGTAATAGATTGAGTTAATTATAAATGATTGATTCTATTCTAATCCAATCATTAGGTGAATTTCAGCTAGTGTTTTTTTTCTTTGTTGTTGTTGTTGTTATTGCGATTGGATATCTCTTCTTCTTCTTATTGATAGCTTTATTCAATATTATATTTTTGGTACAATAAAAATAATTCTCAGCACAAAGTATTACTACTTGATCGATCCTGAGGATGAATGTTGGATGGTTGCCAGATAGAAATTAGTACCCTAAGAGTCGATATCTGAATAGTATACAATCTTTTCATTGTATATTGTCAATACCGACGATGTCCTGATTGAGCTTTTCTGAAACTTTTACAATGGAAGATTGTAAACTTTTCATAAGCACACTTTAATAGGTTGTGCGATGAATAAACATTATGATGTGATAAGATGGTGATTGGAGGTGGTCAACAGGACACATTGCAACTTGATCGATAGCATTCGATCAGCACTAAGAAGGACTTGACACGCATAACATTGATCACCACCCAGTGATCAATCAATTGTGAAAACATTATGATGTGTTAAATCAAGCAAAACAGATAAATGTCGATAGTGTAGTAATAAGAAGACGAAGATTATCAGAACTATGTAATAGATTAGAGCAATACATTTCGAACAATCTGATCACACATATACTTGTTAAGAACATTTATATATAAAAATGAAAGGTCAACTAGATTCAACTTAGTATTGTTTGTTTGAATCTTCCCATCGATTTTGTTAGGACTGCAACTGGTCAGTCTCTAATTGGCATACGTGCATACTGTGCGTATTGCCTCGATATGCCTTAATTCACAAGCATGGTTAGCAGAGATGGATAGTGGCTAGCAGTGGAATCCAGGACGCGCGTTTCGTCCTATTCAACACTCGTCAGCTGGATCCACCTGCATCTGAGTTGATGTTCACTCTGGGACTCGAACCCAGTACCCTCGCTTCAAACGCCATCGCGTTATCCACTTGGCCACTGAATCCTGATAGCCATTTTGTGTGAAAACAATTTGACACCTAATCACTCTGGATAATAAGCTAATATTATCAGGGTAGGTGTAAGGAGAGAACAAACTGTTTTGGAATACACATAGGGGGTTTGAATTGTCATATAGCTAAGGCTTCAATAAACTTTAGTATACGCCCTCTTATACTTTCATACAACACAACAAAAGCCGAGTTCAGATCAATCTTATCGCCTATTTCGATTATATATTTGGCAATAGAAGATGATGATGGATTTTTATCCTCTACTCTTATCGCGTCAATTGATTCTATTTTGTTTCTGCAACCATTTTGGTACATGTTCAAATTGTTTTTACATTATTATTATTATTGGATGACGGCTCAGTGGTCTATCGGTTAAGGGCTCTGGCTCGTAAATGGTAGGTCCTGGGTTCGTATCTCGCGAGTGCGGGATCGTGGGTGCGCACTGCTGAGGAGTCCCACAATAGGACGAAACGGCCGTCCAGTGCTTCCAGGTTTTCGATGGTGGTCTAGCTTCAATTAACTAATGATTTCAACTTTAAAATATACTGAAATCTCCACAAATCCCCTTCTGATGATTATTATTGTTGTTATTCTTGTCTACTTTTACCCCCCC